CTTCACAAGGAAAGCACTTGCAGCCTCAGAGTTTCTCTAAGCATGTTGCCGTGCCTGCCAGCCCAGCCAGCGTTTGGTCTGTGATAAAGCCGGTTTTGCTCGGGGAGGTGGTGGTCCCACAGGGATGCTCCTTGCTGCTCCGTCCCTGCGGCAGCGTGGGCTGCATCCACCTCCTGCAATGGGAAGCTCTGCATGCCAGGACGGTTGCACGGTCGCCGTCACTCCTTCTCCATCCTCTTAATTTTTTTCCCTTGGGAATATTAAGCCGAGCTTGGTTTGAAGCCTGAGAGCGCTTCGGCAACACCTCATACATCTCAGCACTGTTGGCTCCGGGTTATTTATCACGTTTTTCCCTAGGATGCAAAACATCCCAAGCTCATCTCAAAGGCGTTAGATTTAGCAGCGTCTGCTGGGTTGCAGCTGACCCCGATCTGGAGGAGCTTTCTTGCAAGGAAACACGGTCTGGCGTGGGCTAAGCACAACCCCTGCGGCCGTTCAGAGCCGCGGTGGTGGAGCGAAGAGGCGATACCAGCCTGCTTATCGTGAGGAGGACCGTGATCTGCTCTGGCCCCCGTCCCATCGGATAGCCGGGTGGAAGGAACCGGACCAGGCAGTGCCTTCGCAGAGTGACTGGTGGGTCCCTGGGGAGCGGATGGCTCTTGCACCGCCTAAATGAGCCTGTGACTGGCAGGAAAACACTTCTAACCCAGAAGTGGGACACGCTTACAAGTTGTAGGGAATCCGTGTGCCAGCGTGGCTTGCACTTTGGAGCGGTGGTTTCCTCTCTTTGTTCGTCTGGCTCGCACCGCCGCGGCGCTCAGAAAGGCAGGCGTGCCTCTGGCCACCTCCTGGAAGCTTATCTTAGTCTGGAAGAATATATTAGATTTCCTTTTTAAATTAAAGCTTTATATTTTTGTGATTTTAAAAAAAAAAAAAAAAGAAGCTTGAGCGTAAGGTTATAAACTCACACTTGGTTTTCTTCTGCTGAAGTTAAAGCACACGCGGACCATTTATTTTAGCAGGAGACTGAATAAGTGACTTGTCCCAGCTCGGCCGTCGGCAGCCCTGGGTTCGCCTTGGACCATCCAAAAAGCACACAGGATTGTCAAAAGCAGGACCTACGCTAAACTGACACTTTGAAAATCATTAGCTACATCCTCTATTTCGAGAAACTGAGGGCATGAACACAAGCAGCAGCGTTAATAAATACACACATTTATTAATCCCCTTTCTGAGGGTTACAGATTAAAAGAGGGAGAGGTGTGTGCACGCCAGGCAGGTGCCATCCCGGGGTTCGCAGCGTTTTTAAGCCTGAGTGCTGATGGCAACTGGTAAGAGGGTTTGCAAGAAACCGTGTTGCTCACCGGTGTCTGTTACAGCCAGAAAGGCTTAAGCGGAGCCTGAAGTTAGGCCAGTGCGCTAAGAGCTCTTAAATAATCTATGTCTGGTCCCAAGAGTAGCCGGGGTGGTTTCAAAGAGCTGGTGACTTTTTCTGCTTGTAGCATCCTTTGCAGAGGAATTATCCCTACCGCATCTCGTGAAATTGTGTGAATTGACTCATAGTTCAGTAAAAATGCTTGTGTGGTTTAGTAAAACATGGTCTGTTGGACTCCAGCGTTGCGTTATCTCAGGGAAAGAAGTGGAACTAATTTTTATATGTTGCTCTGGATGATTTCTAAGTGTTCCTGGTCATCCTGCAGAGCTCATTATTTCTCCTCCAGCCGACACTGGCTTCTAATTAGGGGACGTGAAATTAAGATGGAAGAGCAACAGCTTGCAAGGGTATTGCTGCTCAGGAAGGAATCTGGGCTGGATTTAAGCCAAAAATATCCTCTTGTTTGCAAGATTTTGGTGGGGAGAGGATGGCTTTAACACTGCAGGCTACCAGCTTATAAAAGGGAGGACTAACAGAGCAGCCCTTCACCTCCTAAAAGGGGGCACTTAGCTCCTGTCCTCCTTGCCCGTTCCCCTGCATCTCTCATGCATTCAAAGGGCACACATATTTCCTAAACCAGAGTTTTTCCTACACCAAATTCGGGGTGGCTTCTATCCCCCCGGCCGTGCGACCGCGGCTGGGGGCAGCAGGCCCAGAAAGGGCTCTGGGCTGTGCCGCTGTGGTGCTCAGCCCTGGTGATGCATTTCAACTGATTTATCAGTTTTTCCCATATTTCCCCCCATATTTATTTTTTTTTAATGCTAAATATTTTTTTTCTCCTGGAAGGGTGATGTGACATCTACAGAGCCCCATTACGGTGCTGCTTTTGGGGTACAATTGCAAAGCCAAGAGCTGAAATAGCTTGGCCAAGACCTTCTTAAATCCATTGATTTCCCCATCAGGATGCATCACAACTTCAGGAAACATAACACTGCTCTGAAAACAATCCTGGGTCCTCATTGACATCCATTTCTGCCGGGAGACTTCTGGAAGATGTTTCTATAGTTATTTAATGGGAAGGGAACAAATTCTTCACTGTAAGCCATCCCCTTGCTTCCCTGCGCAGCGTGGTGTTAGTGTTATGTGCTGGTAGAAGAAAATGCTTTCAGAAATAGGAACAATTTAGACGTTGCAGAAATCTGCGGGTTTTTGGCCTCGTCCATCAGCTGCGTGTGGCACCGGCTGCTTTTTACAGGTGCTTAATAAATGCAAACGAGCTCTGGTGTTTTTCTCTTCCCCCCCCTTTTATAACCCTGCTACTTGCTCATTTTCATTCTGCTTCTGGTCAGCAGAGATGGCTTTGATGGTGGGTTTTCCCCCAGGCTTTAGCTGGGAATTAAACCCAGCTTAACTTTTACAGCACACTACACCTGGCTGGGGGTTTTCCACCAAGACTCGTTTATATTAGGAAATAACACATGGAGGAACCGTGTTTTTGATGAACTCGTACCAGTGGAAAAAGGGGGTTAGGGAGCTTCACGTTGGAGCTTTAGGAGGAAAAGCAACAAGAATGATTAATTTTCCTGGGATTTTGTACAGATTTAAGAAATTTGATTTTGAAAGAAAAAGGGAAAAGTTTTTGCTTCAGTCTTTTATGGGCTGGAAGGTCATTTTAACCCATTTGCCCTCAAATTTTCCTGGAGCAGAAAGTCTGCTTTTCGTTTCATCTACCCCCCGATGAAGCTTACAGCCGCTAGTTTTGAGAAATTAGAGTCTTTCTGCAGAATTTGCTCTCGCCTCTAGAAATGAGTCCTTGCTAACAGACCAGTGCAAGATGTTTTGCTAGCCGTCACGATGTGTCTGTACCCAGGGGCACACTGAAAATAGCAGCGTTGCCTTGGGTTTGATGCAAACCAGAAAGGACCTTCCCATAGCACGGGATCCAGAAGTTGTCCCGGTTATCCCAGCGGGCTCGGCTGAGCGACAGCTAAATCCAGAGATTTTTTTTGGTCTCAGTTATCGGGAAACAGCCCCCATGAAGCTCAACTAATTTCATTGAGAGTAACTGCAATAAAACATTAAACAAGTGTCGTACATCCTAAATCCGTACATTAAAATACATTAACTGCATTTATGGTTTAACCAGTAGTTTAATGACTTTGTGAATGATGGAATTTGAATTTTGTTAAGCCAACAGACCAATCTTTTATATATATTTTTCATTACGGGAAACAAAGATAGTTTGTCTGTATCCATCTTTTCCTCTAAATACCATGTATAACCCCTACTAAGCAACAAACCCAAGAAAAAGTTGTCTAAACCTTTAAGGAGACGATAACTAAAAATGAATGAGACAGTATGGAAGAAGAGCAGTGAAAAACAGAGACCATTCAGTAAAAATTTTATTTAAAAATCTATTCAAGTTGCAACACTTGTACCAAAAAGTGTCAGAAAATCTATGATTTGGGTTTTTTTAATACTTTAGCCTACATAAGATGTATTTCTACACTTGACTGAAAGGCAAGTAAACACCTACCCATTGTAAAGCCTTTCTCGAGAAACAATTCCAAATCATAAGAACTGGTGCGTCGCTCTTTTCCTAGCGGTGTTAAAAGTTATTTTTTAAAAACAAATTGAACTTGGTGGTATCAAAATTTCAGCGAGGAAATACAAACCCGTATACAACTGGGAAGGAAAAGCACATCCAAAGCTTTCCAAAGATCATTTTTTTGGGGGATTCAGCCTCACCTCTTTATCGTGGGTGTATTTTCACCGTTGCTTTGGGTGTTTGCTTTTGCGGAGGGTTGAAAGGCGTGTGCTTGGAAGCGCAGCTGATGGGTGGCTGAGCTGGGATGCTCTCATTGCTGGTGGTAGCTCAACCAAGTGCAAGAGCTTAGTAGGGCTCAAAAAGGCTTGGACCTGTATATGGGTAACAGGTACCTCCGTGATGACGTTAGGCAGATGTGTAAATGCTCGTGCTTTGGGGCATAAGCCAAGTTCTAATCCAAAGGGAGAGACAGGGAAGCTTCCCTTGGGTCTGCGTGAGGACGTTCCCATCCTGGGGATTTTTATGCCTTTCCCAGAAAGATAGGGGTCTGGATGATTTTAGCAGGGCGAGTTTTATGGCCTCACTGTAGTCGCTTGAAAATTCCCATTACACCTGCAATAGCAGCGGTGCCTTCCCTGCAAGGGGGACGGCCGCCCGGGCTCCAGGGTCGCTGGGAGGCAGCAGCCAAGCATCCAGCGCAGTCCCGTGCTGGGGTTTGCTGTCGGTACGTGACTCCGCGGAAAACCTCCGGAGCTGCTCGGTTTTGGGTTTTTTTTTCCTAGAGATGCAATCCACACAACACCTCTCCTTAAGCAACCCGATGTAGCTCGTGTAACCCCCTCTCGTTGCAGGTGCTCCCATCCCCTTTGCTTCCTGGGAGGCAAAGCCGAGAGCTCAGGGTAGGGTTCAGGTAGCCGCGGGCACCACAAAGCCATCAGCGAGGCACCGTGGCCAACCACCACGCATTTTATGATTTCATTTAATTTTTTTTCGGGGGACTCTGCTGCATCCCGGGCCGCGAGGGGGGAATAACCTCTTTGATTTGATTTTTTTTTTTTTTTTTTTTTTTTCCTCCAGTTCTCTCAGGCCAGACACACCACAGCCCTTTGAAACGCTCTGTGTCCCTTACCCCACCCATGAATGTGCCAAACCAACCTCTAGGACATGGATGGATGTCTCATGAGGACTTACGAGCTAGAGGACCCCAGTGCATCCCTTCCGATCATGCCCCCCTGTCTCCACAAAGCAGTGTAGCCTCTTCGGGAAGTGGTGGGAGTGAACATTTAGAAGATCAGCCTTCCGCTCGTAACACATTCCAGGAGGAAGGGAGTGGGATGAAAGGTGAGTGAAAAACCAGACGCCTTCCCCCCCACAGCACCCAGAATCAGGAGGGGAAAAGCCGTTTTCCCGGCAGCGCGGGGCTCGGTTGGCGGTTTTGGGCGAGAGTCCTCGTAACCAAATGGGGCCTTTCAGCTTCTCTTCCCGGCTTAGGAATTTAGGTTTAGGGGAATAAGTTAGGTTTGCTTTTAAGCAGCGGCTGGTCCTGATCTGACGTCTTACAGTTGGGTGCCGGTGGGCTGGTTTTGCCCCAAAATCCTGCAAGCTGCCAGCTTTCCAAAAAACTGGATTTTTTCCATAGCCTGTGGCTTTTGGCTGCGAGTGGTGCTCTTTTCTCTTTTTTCTAATTTTTTTTTTTTTTATTACGGTGAAAAATAGCTTAGCATAGGTTTAGCAAGCCATCTCTGATTTACTATTGCGGTGTTTGGTACCCACCAAGTATTTGGGGAAGTTTTGGCTTAGGATACTTGTTTGCAGTGAATTTATCCTGTGTATTTCAGTTGTTTTTCCCATTACGCCTGCATTTCACGGAGACTTTTAGCAATAAATATATGTGATCCTGTTGGGAAACAAGGCAGAAACAAAACCCTATTGCTGCAGTCAAAGATGGAGAGCAAACTTCAGGCTGTAGAGGAATAAATAGATAAAAATTGGGCAAACGCATAGACTGTACATGCCAGTGAACAGACAAAATGACTGGAAATGAACCCACAGCTACCAGAGACTGATTTAAACAACTGCGATTTTCATTAATGCAAAGCCACTCTGTTGTGTGAAGACCGATGAGGTAACAGAATAAGGAAACAATCGTATTTTTTAAGTAGTCACAAGGTCTGATTTTGCTCTAATTACAGACAAATCTAGATACGCATAAATCTGTAATGTGGCATTGTGTTTGACTTGGTGCTGTGTGACTTTGATGTGCATGAAATAAATACATGAAAAAAAACCCCTCACGATTCCCCCGTGAGATAGATGCTCGGGGCTCAGCCCTCTCCCTGGCTGGACTTTGCACCGTAGCGTTGTTCTGGGCTGGGGGCGATGGGCTGTAGGTGTGATGGGGGGAGTTTTCCGAGTGTGATGGCCTCGCAGAGCCGGGCTTTGCTTCTCAGTGGCTCCGCTTGCTAACGAACACCTCATCAGGTAGCGCAGCCGGGGAGCGTTGCATCTCCGGCGGTGCTGCAGGCTCTGCGTACCTGTGGCTCTTGCTGCCTGCATGACCCCGTGGTCATGACCGCCAGCATGTTGAAGACTAAGCCTGAAGGCTCCCCAAGGCTTTCCATGCCTGGGGCCGGATCCTGCAGTCTGTCAGATCGAGGACACCCTTTTCAGGAGCTGGTGGTGTAGAGGGGTCTATTTAACATGACGTTTATCCAGGTTTCTGCTGATGGGACTGGGGAGGAGACCACGGGGAGCTTGGCTCCCTGTGATCCACAGCTGCAACTCCAGGACCTGCGTGGGTAGAATCTTCCCAGTGCGATGCCATCGATCCGTACGGCCAAATCTGCAAAACCCAAAGGCGCTATTGCCCAGGCTGTCCACGAGCAATAATCAATTAAATAAACTCCGTATTAAGACAGCCCGTTGCTCCTGCATGCAGCCCCCCCGGGGGAGATGGCTGCCCTTCGTCGGGACATCCCTTCCCGAGCATCCTCCTTCTCTGGAGGAAGGTTTGCAAACATCTAAACCCGATTCCCCCCGTCGCTTAGTCAGCCAGTTTGCTTTTGTCCCGCTGTCCGGGGATGTGCGAAACAGATGTCTACAGCCTCTGGTGTCTACGACTGTCGTGTCCTCCCCCCTCCGCTGTATTTTCTTCAGACTGAACCAATCCAGTTTCTTCCCAGATGGTGTTTTCTAAACTCGGGGTTGTTCTTGCTTCTCTCCACCGGGTTTTTTCCAGAAAGTCCGTATTTTATTGAAGGTGTGTTGCCCAAAACTGGACTCGGGAGCAGGGTAGAGACTTGCTTGCCGTACAGACAGCGTTCCGGTGGCTGTATAGCTCATTGTCCTCAAATAACACACCGCCGCGGGCTGCGTGTGACCCATTGTATCCCCACAGCTTTTCTGCAAAAAAAAGTACTGCCCGTTCCCTGCCCTCGGTTCGTGCCGTTTCTTGTTCCTACAGAAACGCGCAACTTTGTGCATTTTTATCGGGTTGCATCTTATTTCATCCAGACCGGCTGCTCGGTTTGCCAAGTCCCTTCTCTGAATTGCAGCCACGTCTCCCCGAGCGCCTGCAGGCTCTCGTGGCTTGGTGTCACCCGCACCTCCGGTCAGCTCGCTCCTTCTTCAACACCCTCCAGGGCATCCAGGAGGGTAGGGGGGAAACCAGACCCACGACAGACCCCCGTCCCACGTGGCTTAGCAGCTCATCTCCCCTAATGTCACCTATTTCTCTCCTTTCCATCTATCTTCGTGCTGAAGGAAGAGTGCCCTTTGGCTTTTCCCCAGCCCCTGGTTTCTCCAGGGGGAGATGCGGACGCTTTGTTCCCTGCAGAGCCCATCCGTCTGTCCGTCCGTCCCTTTCCGGGGCACAGCTCAGGGCACGCCGGTGGGGACGGTTTGGGTAGGGCTGGGGGTTTCTGCTGCGAGTATGTCCATGGCTTGGCACGGTGTGCTGTAAGGGCACTTCCGAAGATGTCCTGTGTATACATTGGCCGGTATTTATATATGGCAGGGTGAATTGTTTTCCTTTCTAAATTTCTTCTAAATTTCCATGCCAGCACCCAGATAGACATGTGCCGGCCAAACTGCGGCGTTTAATGCACATATAGGGGACAATGGATGTGAGCAGCATGAAAGTCCTTGGTTTGCTGCTCACATCAGACGCAGCGTTTCTGACAGCCCTGCCATGACTTAGCAATTAGCTCCTGCTAATCGGTGATTAAAGAGTAGCTCTGTGGGCGGGTAGCTCACTGCTCCCTGGGGATCGTTAGGAAGTTTGACTTTCCAAGGACCATGAAGTCGCCTTAGATGACCTTGTACCTCCTGGTTGCCTCTTCCCCATGGGAAGGGGGAAAGCCCCACCACCGTCCCTCTGGTCTGGGGTGGCTCCTTCTCTCCACCCCACTCCCGGGATTGCCATCCCTGCTGGCAAGGGGGCTCTGGCACCGTCGTAGCTCCCCAAAACTAGGAGGTGATCCAGGGAGGCTGGTGCAAAGGGAGAGAAGAGCTGCTCTGGCTCTCTGACCCTCTGCAAAGGTTGGAAATGGGTTTTCTACAAGATTCAACGTCTATGTGAAGTTACACTTCTCTTCTGAAAGTATCCCCGTGGGCTTTGCCATCGGCACGGACGTGCGCCAAAAGCAGACGACCCCAGGGGACATGGGATCAGGCAGATTTTTAACTTGTCGTGGCTAAAACGAGGTGGTTTTGTGTTAAAATGAAGTTGAGATTCGAGCTTGCCAGTCCCTGCACTCCTCACCTCTGCTGGAGACAGAGGGCTTTCTGCTAATAGCTTTTAATGGGCTTTCTGCTAATAAATTTTTTTAAGCAAGTGGATTTAAGAGGCCTTGATAGCGGGTTTTAGGACTGTTTAGGACTGTTGCATGTTGGGACTTCCAAAAAACAGCGAAGTTCAGCCCGTCTGTGCTCGATAATTGCTTTGCCCCCGTGTTTGGTGTGGGGTTCATCTCCTTCTGTGCAGCATTTGAGGAACTTCACTGAAAGGCGAATCCTGATGTGTGTCAGAGGATGGAGAGTGTGAGCAAAAAGCAGGTTTTTAGGGCCGTTTGCATCACCTCTGCTTGGATGCGAGTGGGGTTTGGGGTCAGCCCGGGCAGTGGGCAGCGGGAGACTTCTGGCAGATGTAAAAATTGCCTTAGGGAACCAAACCAACGGTCCCTCTTGCCCTGTCCCCTCCAGCAACGAGGTATTGGTTTGGGAAGAGGTCTGTGACGATCCTTGACTTGCACTCTGGCACTCAGCAGCGTGGGGCTTTCTGGACAGAGACCACCCACACCATGGGATGTCCCAGCAGTGGGACTGTCCTCCTCACATCGTCTCATCCCTTTCCAAAGCAAGTCTGGCCTCGCATTTTGCTGTCGGAGCAGCCTAGAAAACCTTTGAGGTTGGCTACATTAACGAAGGTTATTGGAGGTGTCCATGAAGGTTGTCCTCATGCTGGTGGTGAGCAGAGCACCAGCACCCACAGCAGCCCCAGCCCAGCAGCAGAAGGACATAGCGGGTAGAAATCCCTCCCGAAAACGGTGCAAGCCCCCATTCCTCCTCCCTCCTCGGTGGGCACTTTGGGCAGAGGAACCCCGTCAGTGCAGCCTCACCGCCAGCCATCACTCCTTCCCCTCGGGCTCTCCTGCGCCTCGGGTCCACCACGTACCCCTTACGACGACTCGGGAACGATCAAAGAGAGGGGAGGTGTTGCTGCTAACTGGTATTTAGCCCCAAAAGAGACATTTCCTGAGCCTCCACCTTCTCTCTCCATTCAAGGTGTGGGGTTTGGGGCTCAAACACTGTTTTTTCATGGTTACTGCACCCGGTGTGGGTTGAGACAGGGCTCCCGGGTGTCTTGCTGGTGGGGAAGGGGTCAAGGACTAATGGACGAGGGTATTGCTGGGAGCGGAGCGCGTGAGCTCGGTAGGGTAAGGCAGAGCTATTGTTGGGTTGTAGGTGCTAAATAAAGCAGGTCCCGATTTGGCACAGCATTTGAAGCCTTTAGGATGCAAAGCAAAAGCGTTATCACAGGCACGGTGTTGTGCTGCAGCCCAGATATCTGCAGGGCCTCCCCCCTCCCTTGTGGGGTGTCATCACGAGGCCCCCCAAACCAGTGAAACCCCAAGTACCTGCTGAGCAGGCTGGAGCAGGGAAGGCTCGTATCCCATTGCCGTCTCCGTGGAGGACACCCCGTCATGGGGTCTGGTGGGGTTTTACATGTTGCAGAGGAAGGATTCCCTTCCCAGGTCCCTCCCTGTGAAACGACATTGATGTCAGGAGAATAAAAGTATTTTTGGGTATCCATCCAGCCGGGCGCAGAGGTGCTGCACTGCAGATAACGACTGGGAAGGAAAAAGTCATTTCAGTCGGTGCATTTTGAAGTCCCAAGTCACCCTTCTGAAACAGGTTGTGGGACCATCTTCGATGGCACGTCGTTTTCCCATGCTCAAAAAAAAAAATCTCTTTATTTCTCTTTAAGCAGCCATTTAAATTTTCAGCACATACCATCTTCCTTCATGCCATAAATCAGTGTTTGCCATCTGCAAAACAGCCATTTGCTCGTCCTAAGCTCGACCACACTGTTAGGTTCAGTGGTTCCCACGTTCCCGGGAAAAGGGCAGCGAGGAGCTTGCCTGTGCAGTGGTGCAGCGCCGGCTCCCTGTGGGCTAATTCCCGGCGGCTCAGCCACAGAAACCCAACCTCTGAGGACGTGTCCTCATCTCGGGGCTGGTTCCTCCTACCATCAATATCCATAGCACTATGTTCTCATCCAGGGGCTGGTTCCTCCTACCATCCATATCCATAGCACTATGTCCTCCAAAAGTTCCATGACATTCAGTAAGGTGTCTGAAGCACCAGTGGGATGGTGGATGGCACCTAATCGGTTCTTTGTGTTGCTGTTGATGCTATCGCACGTGGTTAAGCAGTGTCATGAGCTCTCATCTCCTTCTCTTTGTGCTGCAGATGTCCCAGCCTGGCTGAAGAGCCTCCGGCTGCACAAGTACGCCGCCCTCTTCTCGCAGATGACGTACGAGGAGATGATGGCCCTCACCGAATGCCAGCTTGAGGCACAAGTATGTCCCACGTCGGTCGTAAAGGGATCAGCCGCAGTCCCGACTCTTGTGCGGTCGGTAGACAAGATGCCCCCAACACCTCTTTTTGCGTCTTCACCTGGAAGGCGTTTTGCCCACGGGTGGTTGGAAAGCAAGCAGAGAAAGGAAAATTGGCTCTTGGGAAGTGAAAAAACTGACATTGTACCTGAAAAAGGCCTTGTCCCAGGTTTCTTACTGGAGTCCCAGCGTGAAAGTCCCATTCCTGGGAGCTGCGTTTGGGTTTTTGTCCGGTTGGGATTAAGTTTCAGGGGCATAGTCTGCAGTACCCAAGTCCTTTAAAGTCAGTGGGGCTTTGGTGGCCAATTGCCTTGTTAACCTTTGAAAATGTCCCCGCTTTCAGATTTAGCTCTGCGTTATCCTCGGGATGAAGAGGGCCGATCAGCACCTTTGCTTTCACTGTTTGAGATGTACCAGGGAGGGACAGACTAGCTGGAAATCTCTATCTTCAGCAAGTCTCTAAGTGATTTTTTATGTCCCCCGCTAATCCCTGCACTCAGAAATTTGATTAATTTGTAGCAGCCCTTTTCGTTTAGGGGAGGAAGGATTTGGGCTGACCCGGCTGTCCTGTGGCAATGTTAACACCAGGTTTTGTGCTGTTTTTTGCAGAACGTTACCAAAGGCGCAAGACACAAAATAGTCATCAGTATCCAAAAGCTAAAAGAAAGACAAAACCTGCTCAAATCTTTAGAAAGAGTAAGTAATCGCAACCACTTCTGCATTTCCTCTTTTTCAAGAAGCTAGGAATTAATTCTAGGGTGAAGAACTCTTCGGTTACACATGCTGTTGGGATCTTCTGCAGAGTCTGTTGCTGGCTTCGCCGCATCTGAATGGTGTCTCAAACCCTTCTGTACCAGATGCAGGTTTTATTTGGGGCTGTATTTTGCAGAGTGGGTCCTAATCCAGCTCCGGCACTCACGCAGCTGGGATGGATATACCCTGCAGCACTGGTACAAGCCCTGCCCAGCTCCAGGGTGCTCGGAAACACCTGAGCTCCAGGTGATGGAGAACACCATCCCAGCCACACTGATGGGAAGGTGGTCACCCATCCGCTGAACCGTGCTGCAGGACCAGCTCTAGCCGCACCAGCCGCAGTGGTCCTCTCTCCCGCTGGAGGACCAGCTGGGCAGAGCCTCTAACCCCTGGTTATCCCTCGGCCACTTGGTTAACTCTCCCGTCTCGACGCTACTGTCCCTCTCAAGAGCTCCCTCCATGCACAGCGGTCCTCACAGGGACCCCCGAGCCCTGCCCCTACCTCTCCATCCCCAAAAAGAGATGGGATTTCCCAGTGTCTGTCAGGTCAAGGGCCACTGCGCTTTTCTGGAGCATCATATGGGCAATCTGTGCGCAGATGAAAAGCCAGACACCCACATCTGTGTCTGAACAGCAGCTTGAATTTCCAAGGAGAACAAATAGGAACTTCTTTGTCCTTTCAACAAAAAGCTTAAACTCTGCAGAAATGGCTGTCGGAGAAGCACCAGCACCGCAGGCTGGCTGGGAGCAGCTCACCCAACCTCTCGCTATTTATTATCGCAATATTATATTATATTTAATTGCACCGTCTTCAAACAGCAACTTGCAGAGCCTCCCGCTAGGGGCTTTTAAATACTTATGTGGTGTGTTGCTATTTATTGGTGTTTTCGTTAGCTCACTGCTTCACTATTTATTTATAATATGGGATTGTACTCAGAATATGGCAGTAGATAATAAAGCCATATTTACCTCCGTATATGAATAATAACTATTAAATAGATGAGACAGCCGGCTGGATTGAACTTGCTTCAGCGATGCGTTTTCCAGGCGATTGCACAGCCGCTTCCCCGGCTTCTCCGCCTGGGTTTTGAAATATGGTATTGATCCCGCGGTGTGGGAGGGTGAGCCCAGTTCAGCTGACACAACCAGCCACGCAGGCTGTAAAATAGGGCAGATAAGTGGCAGGGACTGCTTTTGAGCAATCGTGGAGTGGGTTTGGGATGTGGGGCTGTGACCATGTCCCACTTTGCTGCGGCTCAGAGCTGCCTGTGAGCTGCTTTACTTGGGAGGAGATGTCTCCTGTTTTCCAGTCTTCCCATCCAATTTTTTTTTGCTAAACAAGAGCATGTGTGGGACTTGATTTTTTTGGGCAGTGTCTCGCTGCTAAAGATTGCTGCTTTCTTGGAAAGAGGTGCTCCACCCCTCTCTGCCGGTTAGCAGAGCAGGATTTTTTTCCCCGAAAAAATAGTGCCCAGCAAACTGACACCAGGTCTTCGAGAGAAGTGGAGCTAAGATGTCCAAGAGCGAGCTGGGGGTGCAGCA